CATTGGGTAATTCAAATTTCGGCCGCTTTTTGGGCCAAAATTCTATCCCAGATTTCAGCCGTCAACTTGGAAATCAGCCGTATTGGACACATCCATCCCGCCACTGTGCCACGTTCATGAGGCAGTTTGGCTGTCTCTCTCCGAGAGTGAGGAAAACTCCACGCATTCATCCAAACATTTCATTATAATCTGTTTCTCTGGGTGTTCATTGAGTGCAACTGTGAAATAAACCACTATGGGCCCAAAGAAAGTTCCTAGTAAAGTTCCTTTGGTAAAGAAAGTGGGAAACATGATGGAATTAAAAAAAGAAGTTGTAGCAAAGTATGAGTGGTGATGGTGTACATGTGCTCCAGCTTGCCAGGATGTATGGGAAATTAAATCAACAATCACTTCCATCCTGGCAAAGAAAGTAGAAACCAGGGAAGCTAATGTTGCAAAAAGGGGTAAATATGCTAACAAAACAAAGGTCACCAATAACTGAAGATGTGGAGAAGTTATTGTTGGTGTGGATCAATGATAAACAATTAGCCGGTGATAGTGTTGTGGGGTCGTGAATAAAATGCCTGGAACGAGTGCTGCCGTTAGTGAATTTAGGGCCAGCAAAGGCTGGTTTGAGAGATTTAAGAAGCGTAATGACACACACAGTGTTGTAAGGCATGGCGAGGCTGCAAGTTCAGACAAACATGCAGCTGAAGAATTCGTACATGAATTCAAGGAGTACGCAGAGGTTGAAGGACTCCTCTCCCAATAAGTGTTCAATTGTGACGAAACAGGCCTCTTTTGGAAGAAAATGCCAAAGAGAACCTACATCACATAGGAAGAAAAGGCACTGCCAGGACACAAGCCTATGAAGGATAGGCTTACTCTTTTGTTCTGTGTTAACACTAGTGGGGATTTCAAAGTGAAGCCTTTACCGGTGTATCACTCTGAAAATCCCAGTGTGTTCAAGAAAAACAATGTTGTCAAGAGTAAATTGTGTATGTTGTGGAAAGCTAATAATAAGCCATGGATCACTAGGCAAATTTTCATTGACTGGGTCCATGAAATGTTTGGCCTGAGTGTGAAAAAATACCTCCAGGAAAATAAATTGCCACTCGAGTGCCTCCTGATACTGGACAATGCTCCTGCTCATCCTCCACACTTGGAAGACCATTTGTTTAGGGACTTCAGTTTTGTAACAGTGAAGTTCTTGCCTCCTAACACCACCACTCTCATCCAGCCCATGGACAAGTAGGTCATTTCTAACTTCAAAAAAACTCTACACAAAAGCAACGTTTCAAAGGTGTTTTGAAGTGACCTCGGACATTGACTTGACCCTAAGAGAGTTCTGGAGGGATCACTTCAATATCCTCCACTGCATAAACCTTATAGGTAAGGCTTGACAGGGAGTGACTTCCAGGACTTTGAATTCTGCTTGGAGAAAATTGTGGCCAGAATATGTCCTCGACAAGGATTTTGAAGGGTTTGAGGCTGACACTGACTACCCTACGCCTGTTGTGGAATCTACTGTGTCTTTGGGGAAGTCCATGGGGTTGGATGTGAGTGGCCAGGATGTGGAAGGGTTGGTGGAGGACAACAGGGAAGAGCTAACCACTGAAGAACTGCAAGACCATCTGCAACAGCAACAGATCACAGCTGAGAAAATTGCTTTTGAGGAGGAGGAGGAGGAGGAGGAGGAGGAGGAGGAGGAAGAGAGAGGGAAGAATGTGTCTCCTTCAGTGATTAAAGACATTTGTGCAAAGTGGAGCGAGTTACAAAGTATTGTAGAGAAATATCACCTGACCAAGCTAAATCAAGCCATACCTGTTCAGTAACAAAACCTTGTCCCACTTCAGGCAAATCTTAACCCTCCCAAACTTGTTTTCAGGGTCAAAAAATTTTCGAAAAAAAAAAAAAAAAAAAAAAATTTCTTGTGGAAAGATAGAGAATCTTTACCCGATCATAATGGCACCAAAAGTGTGAAATTTGATAGAAAACTTAAGGAATTATGCTCTCACTAAGTTAGTGGTCTCGAAGATATTTACTCATCGGCGATTTCGCCCACTTTGAGCCCTATTTTTGGCCAATTCCAATGTTGCACTTGACTAAAAATAATATCTATTTCCCTAGAACTCCATTTGTTCTATTGACTGAGTACAAGAATCTGCCCATTTACCGATTTCAACCACCCAATAAAGTGGTCAGAATTTGGCAATTTGGGCAATTTAACACAAATTTCAAAAGATGCCAATTTCGAAATAGGGTCCAGAATAAACACAATAAACAAGACAGACAGTCATGGCACTAAAACAACATTTTATCTGTTCATCAGTCATGTCTCAAGGCCCCTCTTACATTTGCTTTCCATTTTGAATTTTTATTCTCACAGAAAACAAAAAGTTTTCTATTATATATGCTACTGCATCATTGTAAAAATGGTATAAATGGTGTCAGTGCACTTGTGAAAGAATATTAGACTCGCCAGTTGATGTGTATTGGAAGCGTGACTTGATTTGCTTACTCTGGAACATCGACAAAAATCGATCATTTTCTCAACTTCGAGCTCAATTTCAAGGTACTTGTCATCACAAAACTAATCAAAATCATTTCTATTTCTGTAATATATTTTCCATTCTATCAAATGAGACCAAGGAAACGAGAACGCAACCATAAATACCATACGAAAGTCGCTGTTTTAAACCAAAAACAACGTCGGAGTTTTTCTTATTATTATGCACAGTCTGCTTCAGGATTTTTTTATACTGTGCACATTGACCACACAGACCCATTCTTTCATATGTAGGCTTCTCAGCTTTCTTCCACCAGATTTGAAAGTGCTAGAATTTAGGCATACAAGTACGTGACCGACCCTGGCTGCAATGATACTTGTACGTGACCAACCTTCAAAGGATTAAAGAGACGCCAGAACAGACCTCTCTGGAGAGTTTTTTTGTGCGACAGTGGTGCAGTGACTCAAGCTGGTCCTAGTGGCAGTAAAAGAAAAAGAAGGAAAGTAACCCCAGAGGGGCTTTGATACCTGAAGTCCTTATGGAGGGGATTCCCCTTCCAAACAAAAATCAGTCCTCCCTCTCTCTTCCTCCCTGTCTTCCATAAGCCAACAAGAGTTTAATAAAGGTATGTAAGAGTGATTTAAATGTTCATTTATTTATTTTATTTAATTCTCACCGTTTTGTGTATGTAAAACTATAGTTAATCTTTAAAAAATGTATTTCTTGGTTAATATTTTTGGGTGTCTGGAACAGATTAATTGTTTTTATTATTATTATCACACTGGCCGATTCCCACCAAGGCAGGGTGGCCCAAAAATGAAAAACTTTCACCATCATTCACTTCATCACTGTCTTGCCAGAAGGGTGCTTTACACTACAGTTTTTAAACTGCAACATTAACATCCCTCCTTCGGAGTGCAGGCACTGTACTTCCCATCTCCAGGACTCAAGTCCGGCCTGCCGGTTTCCCTGAATCCCTTCATAAATGTTACTTTGCTCACACTCCAACAGCACGTCAAGTATTAAAAACCATTTGTCTCCATTCACTCCTATCAAACATGCTCACGCATGCCTGCTGGAAGTCCAAGCCCCTCGCACACAAAACCTCCTTTACCCCCTCTCTCCAACTTTTCCTAGGCCGACCCCTACCCCGCCTTCCTTCACTACAGACTGATACACTCTTGAAGTCACTCTGTTTTGCTCCATTCTCTCTACATGTCCGAACCACCTCAACAACCCTTCCTCAGCCCTCTGGACAACAGTTTTGGTAATCCCGCACCCCCTCCTAACTTCCAAACTACGAATTCTCTGCATTATATTCACACCACACATTGCCCTCAGACATGACATCTCCACTGCCTCCAGCCTTCTCCTCGCTGCAACATTCATCACCCATGCTTCACACCCATATAAGAGCGTTGGTAAAAACTATACTCTCATACATTCCCCTCTTTGCCTCCAAGGACAAAGTTCTTTGTCTCCACAGACTCCTAAGTGCACCATTCACCCTTTTCCCCTCATCAATTCTATGATTCACCTCATCTTTCATAGACCCATCCGCTGACACGTCCACTCCCAAATATCTGAATACATTCACCTCCTCCATACTCTCTCCCTCCAATCTGATATCCAATCTTTCATCACCTAATCTTTTTGTTATCCTCATAACCTTACTCTTTCCTGTATTCACTTTTAATTTAGTACTTGCAAGCACTAAAATAAATGGAATATTATGAAATATTTCGCTGGAGCACGCGAGGGGACCTTTGCTCACTGGTAAACAATGCCAGACTGGCTGCCGCCACGGCTCACGCTGTGGGTATGGGTCCGGGACGAATTACGACTCGCGAGTCAACTTATGAAAAGCGAGTCCATGTTTATACGAAAATAACCCTATGATTGGCGAAATTTACGATTGCCGGGAACTACGAAAAGCGAGGGACCACTGTATATACAGGAGAAGGGGTTACTAGCCCCTTGCCCCCGGCATTTTAGTTGCCTCTTACAACACGCATGGCTTATGGAGGAAGAATTCTGTTCCACTTCCCCATGGAGTTAAGAGGAAATAAACAAGAACAAGAACTAGAAAGAAAATAGCAGAAAACCCAGAAGGGTGTGTATATATATATGCTTGTACATGTATGTGTAGTGTGACCTAAGTGTAAGTAGAAGTAGCAAGTCGTACCTGTAATCTTGCATATTTATGAGAGACAAAAGACACCAGCAATCCTACCATCTTGTAAAACAATTACAGGCTTTCATTTCACACTCACTTGGCAGGACAGCAGTACCCCCCTGGATGGTTGCTGTCTACCAACCTACTACCTACAAGTGATGTTTATGTACTTCTAAAATGGCAGCTAGGGAGGGAGTAATGGTGAGTGCATTTTCTTTTAATTACCCTCTCTTGGTGGAATATATTAAATTTGCTAAAAATAATTATTAAGAGGTTTTTCTAAAATCATAAGAACTGAAGAAGGTTGATAAGCAATACTAATACAGAATATTTACCTTGGTAGCTGAATATATGCCCATTAAAGGGATGGGGTACAATCCAGCTATAGAAGCTATGTTAATTATTGCTCCTTTGCCTCTGGTCAGCATCCCAGGAAGGACAAGCTTTGTCATGGCTGGTACTGATGCTACATTCACATTGACGTGGCCCCAGAGGTCCTTCTCAGATGCAAGCTCAAACTCCATCGGATGCGGTAACATTACTCCTACGTTATTTACTGAAACAATTAAGAGATTATGAAGTATTAAAGTAACTGTAAAGAACATTCAAATGCGGTAAAATGTATGAAGAAGAGAGCAAAGCTTCTGATAATTACATTCATGGGTGGGAAGTTAGAAACCTGTAAGTTATATAGCACCTGGGAGGAGATGCAAGATCCAATTCTTTGGATCAAGAGCCCCTTACTGGCAACAAGGAACCTCCCTGAAGGGGAATGTTTGCCTTGTCCTCGTAATTTCATCAAACTTTTGTAAATTTTCAATGGATGTAGTAAACTACCTACCCACAGAGTTCCAAAGACCTACTTTTTTTCTTAATTTAATAATAAAGCCTCACTCTCCCTGTCACTTATTTAAATATAAAGATTTTTTCATAAACTTTGTAATTTTGTTGTAACTAAATTTACATGGTAGTAGCTATTGTCCTACATCAATTAAATTTGCAGTCCAACCCTATGATATACAACCTACAAGTCATCTGGCCCCTTGATAACTATTTCTTAACCCTTTCAGGGTTTTCGACGTACTAGTACAGCTTACGTGCCAGGGTTATTGACGTACTAGTACACGTAAATTTTAGTGCCTTCAAATCATGCAGGAAAAGGCTGGTAGGCCTAGATGTGAGAGAATGAGTGTGTGGTTGGTGTGTGCGGTAGAAAAAATCTGGGTCCCAGTGGCACATTGTAGGAACGCCATTTTAGTAGACCTTGTTCACCATGCTTCACGATAAGAAACTCCTCACTCCTCAGTGAATTGGGACACTTTTGTTCCCCAGTGACAGTTCTAATACAGATGGAAGTGCCAGTGAAGATGAGTTTCAAGGTTTTAATGAGGTTGTGACCGAAACTAATGACCATAATACCAGTAATAGTGAGGAAAACCCAGACGACCCTCAGCCTTCCACCTCTGCTGCTGGGCCATCTTGTTCACGTTCAGTTGTATCAGAACGAAAGAGGAAACTCCTATTTTCCCATATCCCAGACTCAGATGTGAGCATTGGTGATGATAGTGATAGTGAATATGAACTACAAGCTCTTGAAAACAGTTCCAGTAGTGATAGTGAAGCGGAACATTCTCCAGTGAAGTGTCAGTATATATGACGGTATATGCGCTCTGGTAGTGTGCCATATGCTATTCCAAGGGGAAAGAGTACATCTCAGAGTACATCCTGTGGCTGTACAACAGGAATAGATAGTGAAAATGAAGATGATAGTGTTGCAATTGGGATGGAAAATGTGCATGGTGGTGGTAGTAGTGGTGCCGGCCGTGAGGCACCAGCAGTGGGCCATGCTGCCACCCAAGCCACTGCCTCAGCTGATCTACAACAAAGGCCACCATCCTCCACCCACCCACCCACCAAACCAGCCTCCACAACCACAAACTCCACAACCACAACCACCTGTCAATATCCAGTACCCACCAGCAGACCGCACCTGGGATTGGCAGGAAGCTGGCAATTTTGTTCCCAATCCCCATCAGTATGATGAAAGTCCAAGTAGAATACAGCCATCTTGTACACTTGGGAACAATGCCACTGAACTGGAATGTTTCGAGTTATTCTTTGACGAACCTCTGATGGAAATTATTGTCAGGGAAAACAACACATACTTCGATTACACCATGGCAAACACAACACTTTCACCAAAATCACGCCTACACCAGTGGAAGGAGACAACTGTGGCTGAGATGTATCTTTTCTTTGCCACAATAATGCTTATGCCACTTGTGTATAAGCACAGTGTCAAATCATACTGGTCAACAGACCGCCTGATTGCACCCCCAGGATTTAGTGATATAACGCGAGTGAATCGATTTGTGCTACTATTACGTATGTTACACTTCTCAGACAAAACCAGGCCTGACAGAAACGACAGGTTATATAAGATTAGGAATGTGTTTGTGTATCTGAAAGAGAAATTCAATTTTTTTTTATTATTATCACACTGGCCGATTCCCACCAAAGCAGGGTGGCCCGAAAAAGAAAAACTTTCACCATCATTCACTCCATCACTGTCTCGCCAGAAGGGTGCTTTACACTACAGTTTTTAAACTGCAACATTAACACCCCTCCTTCAGAGTGCAGGCACTGTACTTCCCATCTCCAAGACTCAAGTCCGGCCTGCCGGTTTCCCTGAATCCCTTCATAAATGTTACTTTGCTCACACTCCAACAGCACGTCAAGTATTAAAAACCATTTGTCTCCATTCACTCCTATCAAAAACGCTCACCGGCATGCCTGCTGGAAGTCCAAGCCCCTCGCACACAAAACCTCCTTTACCCCCTCCCTCCAACCTTTCCTAGGCCGACCCCTACCCCGCCTTCCTTCCACTACAGACTGATACACTCTTGAAGTCACTCTGTTTCGCTCCATTCTCTCTACGTGTCCGAACCACCTCAACAACCCTTCCTCAGCCTCTGGCAACAGTTTTGGTAATCCCGCACTCCTCTTAACTTCCAAAACTACGAATTCTCTGCATTATATTCACACCACACATTACCCTCAGACATGACATCTCCACTGCCTCCAGCCTTCTCCTCGCTGCAACATTCATCACCCATGCTTCACACCCATATAAGAGCGTTGGTAAAACTATACTCTCATACATTCCCCTCTTTGCCTCCAAGGACCAAGTTCTTTGTCTCCACAGACTCCTAAGTGCACCACTCACCCTTTTCCCCCATCATTTCTATGATTCACCTCATCTTCATAGACCCATCCGCTGACACGTTCCACTCCCAAATATCGAATACATTCACCTCCTCCATACTCTCTCCCTCCAATCTGAATATCCAATCTTTCATCACCTAATCTTTTGTTATCCTCATTACCTTACTCTTTCCTGTATTCACTTTTAATTTTCTTCTTTTGCACACCCTACCAAATTCATCCACCAATCTCTGCAGCTTTTCTTCAGAATCTCCCAAGAGCACAGTGTCATCAGCAAAGAGCAACTGTGACAACTCCCACTTTATGTGTGATTCTTTATTTTTTAACTCCACGCCTCTTCCCAAGACCCTCGCATTTACTTCTCTTACAACCCCATCTATAAATATATTAAACAACCATGGTGACATCACACATCCTTGTCTAAGGCCTACTTTTACTGGGAAATAATTTCCCTCTTTCCTACATATTAACTTGAGCCTCACTATCCTCGTAAAAACTCTTCACTGCTTTCAGTAACCTACCTCCTACCCCATACACTTGCAACATCTGCCACGTTGCCCCCCTATCCACCCTGTCATACACCTTTTCCAAATCCATAAATGCCACAAAGACCTCTTTAGCCTTATCTAAATACTGTTCACTTATATGTTTCACTGTAAACACCTGGTCCACACATCTCCTACCTTTCCTAAAGCCTCCTTGTTCATCTGCTATCCTATTCTCTGTCTTACTCTTAATTCTTTCAATAATAACTCTACCATACACTTTACCAGGTATACTCAACAGACTTATCCCCCTATAATTTTTTGCACTCTCTTTTGTCTCCTTTGCCTTTATACAAAGGAACTATGCATGCTCTCTGCCAATCCCTAGGTACCTTACCCTCTTCCATACATTTATTAAACAATTGCACCAACCACTCCAAAACTATATCCGCACCTGCTTTTAACATTTCTATCTTTATCCCATCAATCCCAGCTGCCTTACCCCCTTTCATTTTACTACTGCCTCACGAACTTCCCCCACACTCACAACTGGCTCTTCCTCACTCCTACAAGATGTTATTCCTCCTTGCCCTATGCAGGAAATCACAGCTTCCCTATCTTCATCAACATTTAACAATTCCTCAAAATATTCCCTCCATCTTCCCAATACCTCTAACTCTCCATTTAATAACTCTCCTCTCCTATTTTTAACTGACAAATCCATTTGTTCTCTAGGCTTCCTTAACTTGTTAATCTCACTCCAAAACTTTTTCTTATTTTCAACAAAATTTGTTGATAACATCTCAAATGTTATCAACAAATGTTATTTTTATCCCTTCAGGAAGCTTGTTATTGATAAGTCTGATTCTGTTCAAAGGAAGACTCTCATTTAACCCTTAAACGGTCCAAATAGATTGCTGTTCAAATTCGTAGTGCTACAAAAGTAGATCTACTTTTTTTTACATATTTTCAAATATAACAAAAAAAATGTAGATAAAAGTTTTTTTTACACGTTTTCAAATGTAAAACAAAAAAGATGATCTACATTTTTTTACATACTTTCAGATATATAAAAAACGTATATATACGTTTGGACCGTTTAAGGGTTAAGCAGTACATATCAAGCAAGAGGAAACACTTTGGCATAAAGTTATTTGTGCTTTGTGACTGCTACAGTGGTCTTGTATTGGATATTATTGTGTACACTGAAACTTATACATTGCAAAATACCAGGAAGTTATTGGGCATCTCTGGTGATGTGGTTAGAACAATGATGGAACCATATCCTGGTAAGGGGTATATATTATATACTGATAACTGGTACACAAGCCCCTCACTCAGTGATTTTTTGCAAGTGAACAGGACAGATGTGTGTGGCACAGTGCGTGCAAATCATAAGCATATGCCCAGGTTTGATGCTGGCACTCGTAGAGGTGAGGTGCAGGCGTTTGCTGCCAATGACATCATGGTATTTTGGTGGCATAACAAACGAGATGTCACACTGTTTTATCAGTTCACCCTAACAAAATGACAAACACTGGCAAGCAGAATAGAGAGACCAATGAACCAATTCTAAAACCTGCAGCCTTGATTGATTACATCTTCAATATGCATTCAGTGGACAAATGTGACATGCAGATTGGGTTTGATGATTGTGTTTGCAAGAGTTATAAGTGGTACATAAAACTCTTTTTCCATCTTCTGGACATTTCCATGCTCAATGCTTATAATATGTATAAGATGAGGACCAGAAACAAACCACCATATGGCGAATTTTGTTTGTCTGTCATCAGACAAATGGTATTCAAGTACCAATGAACAACACCTGCAATAGAAAACCGCCCACTAAATTATCAACAACTACCTTCTCGTCTTAAGCATGGTGATCACTTCCTAATACAACTGCCTGCTACTGCTTTCAAGAAAAAGGCTCAGAAGAGGTGTTACGTCTGTGCACATACAAAAAACGCCCACAACAATGCAGAGACACTCGTTTTATGTGTGAGGAGTGTAAAACACCACTGTGCATGACACCATGTTTCAAAGAATTCCACAGGCTGCAGAACTTCTAGAAACATGTTCTGTGACTGTGTATGTGTATATAAAATATAGAAAAATAATAATAAACAACATTTTATATCATTCATTTGTGTAAACAAGTTTTGTAAACAACTTAGTGACAACAGTGTTTGTGCAGTTATTGTGTAGTAAATAAAGAGAAAAAACTTACAATATAGTGCTCATATTGGTCTCACAGGCCATAAAAGTTACTCGAAAAAAAATAAAAAAATAATAGAAAAAAGTAGAAAAAAGGAAAATATGAAAATACTGGATGACCAGCAGTCGGCGATGATGCCACATGCGGCTCATTTTCTGTCAACTTCATGCCTCCATATCTCGGTAAGTATTGATGACAAAAAATTTTTTTAGCCTATAATTTTTAGAAAAAATTCTTTTCATTAGAAAAAATAATTGTTTTTTTTTAAATTTCTCGACCCTGAGAACGAGTCTGGGAGAGGGCCTGTCGACCCTGAAAGGGTTAAGTGGCACGAGGTGCAAGGAGACATGTCCATATATCTTACCCAAGTCCTTAAGTTATGAACCAAGTTCTCTATCACTGAAGTAACGGCCACCTTGGCTTTCTATGTTCCAAAACAGTTGTCTCCAAAGCACAAGCTATGATACAAAAGGAAGTTTCATTTATTTTAGGTCAATTTTTTGTACATCATACAAACAGTTATATTTTGACCCCAAAGTGTGAGTGCTACAACACCAGCATATTCCAGTTTAAGTCAAACATGTTTCAGGAAATTTCTTCAGCATATCCCAATACATATTATTTAAAAGCTATTTAAAAATTTCCATGTAATACACAAAAGTTTCAAGGGAACAATCTATTTCAATAGAGATCTTATTTTTTCATTTTTAATCACTAAATATATATTCTACAAGATATTTGTTTCCCTTTCTATTTCAATTGCATGACACTTAAACATCAAATTCAATCAATTATTTATCCTTGTGAGAGTGTTAGACCCAAGAGTAGGCAAGAATTTTTTATGATTTGACATGCAGTTGGAGGTAAGGAAGACAACATTTATGAAGGGATTCACAGAAACTGGTTAGCATGCACTCAGTTTGGGAAGTTATCTGATCCGTGTCTCTGCTTGATCCTTGTAACACGGTGACTGAATGAGTGAAAACGTTTCTTATTTGACATTCACCATACCTTGGTGGGAGATGGCCCCTATTAAAAAAAATATCTTTTGTTCATTCAAATAATGTTGTGGGAATATTTTCCTTTGCATAGGATTTCTCCATCTGCAAACACATTAACATGATATACTCCTTGGCAATCTCAACAGACCATCATTAGCCTAGTCAGTACTGATTACTGAGGTACTCTATGCATTAACTAGTCTAACAGTTATCAAAAAGAAGCTACAGTTAGCCAAAGATCACAATACTTACCTAGGATGCCAATTTCCTTATCCTGAAGATGTTTTGCTACGTCTTCGTAAATGTGACGTCCATCAATGAAGTCTACCTTCACAATTTCTGTTTGTACATCATATTCCTGCACTGTAATAAGAAACAATGATGGCTTATTCACCTATCAAACTTTTACCTGCTTTCTCGAATTTTCCTCAAGCTGCACATCAACCATAACTACTAACACAGTATTGAGCTTATATATTTTTACATAAATGCAAAAAATTTGGGGGCACAATTTTCATATAAAATAATTTCCTCTTAAACTGTTTGGTTATCCAACAGATACATCAATGTCAACACCAGCATCAACAGTAAGATGAATATCTAGAACATCAACACTGTCAACCTACAAGCTGCTAAATAAACAAATGCGTTAAATCCAATTCCGGAATTGTCTACACGAGTTGCCATCCTTCTCGCAAAAAAAAAAAAAGAAAGCTTCTATGCTCTCAGATTGTTTCAGTTTTTAAGAAATACAGTACACACATACAGATGACCTGAGGATTTCCCTTCAAATTCTCTGTAAATTCTTCAAGAACACTAAGCATATGTAGTTATTTCATATTATGCAAATTTTTTGCAAGGTTAGGTTGGTAGGTTATTTTTAGAGAAAAATCTAAATTGGTACAGTAGACCGTCATTTAACATGGTTTTGTTTGGCATGTTTTGGTTATAGCACTATTGAAGAATTGTGGCATATTTTTGTATAACACTTCGTAAAATTAACTTAACATGGTTCAGTTTGCGAAAGGGGAGAAATCTGGAGCACGCATCACCCACGGGATACACTCTGCTTGGCTGTGGGTTAGACCACCAAGTCAACGGGAGAGACCTACCGCCATCCCCCGCCACTCCACCATCCTTGTCCCAGCTGGTTCATTTCGTGTAGAAAATCCTCTGCTAGGAGCTAGCTGTGTTTATTTTTATTTGTACATTGAGTTTAGATCTTTTATTGCCACATCTTAAATCTGCCAAGTAATCATGGCACCCAGTAGGCATACAAGTGTTGCTGAAAGTGGCAAGAAAAGGCTAAGCATTTAAGTCTAAGAGTTATGAAAAAAATCGAGATATTAGACAAACTTATGAGTGGCTCACATGTGGTGGATATAGTGAGGGCCTATGGCCTTAATGAAGCATCCGTATGTACAATTAAAAAGAACGAGGTGAATATACGAGCTTGTGTAATGAATAACCCAAGATGTCATCTCGTGAAAAGAATGACACAGATCACAAAAATAAAACTGAAAAACTCCTTGCTAGAGTGGATCGAACAAAAGACAAAGAAAGGTGCACCACTTAATTTCCTCTTAATTAGGGAAAAGGCTTACAGTTGTTTAAAGCAGTGTGTGATAAGGAAGGCCTGTAAAGGAGTATATGTCTAGCACAGGCTGGTTTCCACAACTTTAATTTGCATAACAAGTTAAATAATATTAAGTTTTCTAGTGAAGTGCTTCACCTGATCATACAGTAGCAAGTAATTTCCTGATGAATTGCAGGATATTATTTCTGAGGGTGGCTATGAGCCTCATCAAGTGCTTAATGCTAACGAGAAGTTTTTTGGAAGAAAATGCCAAAACAAACTTATATCAGTCAGTAAGAGAAAAGTGCATTGGGCTTCAAGACAGCAAAGGATTGCTTCACCTTGCTCCTTTGTGGTAATGCATCAAGTGATTTCAAGTGTAAGCCATGGTTATTTTACCGCTCTAAGAATCCTCTTGCTTTGAAAGGTGTAGATAAAAACACCTTACCAGTAATTTGGAGGTCAAACCAGTCAGCATGGATGACAGGAAATATTTGTTGACTGGTTTCAGCATCACTTTATTCTGAAGTCAAGTTTTACCTGCACAGCAAGAACCTTGCATTCAAGGCCTCTCTTCATTCTTGATAATTCCCGTACTCATCCACAAGCTTTGCTGGATGTGACCCCACATGTGAAAATTGTATTTTTACCTCCAAATAGAACATCTTTAACCCTTTCAGGGTCGGCAGGCCCTCTCCTAAACTTGTTCTCAGGGTCAGAAATCCCCCCCTCCCCAAAAAAAAAAACTATGAAATGTATTGAGAATCCTTTCCAGATCAAAATGACACCAAAAGTATGAAATTTGATGGAAAACTTACGGAATTACGCTCTCACGAAGTTAGCGGTCTCGACGATGTTTAAGCATCGGTGATTTCGCCCACTGAGCCCTATTTTCAGCCAATTCCAATGTGCCAGTCGACAAAAATTATAACTATTTCGCTAGAACTCCATTTTTTCTATCGAATGAGTACAGAAATCACCCATTTACCGATGTCAACTATCCAATAAAGTGGTCAGAAATTGGCAATTCTGCCAATTTCTCACAAATTTCCAAATGATGCCAATTTCCAAATAGGGTCCTTAAAAAACAAGACAGACATTCCTGGCACTAAATAACATCTCCTCTGTTCATTAATCTCGTCCCCAGGCCCCTGTTACATTTCTTTTGCTTTCCACTTTGAATTTTTATTCTCACAAAAAATAGAGGATTTACTGTTATGAGGACTACTGCATTAGTGTAGAAATGGTGTAGAAATGGTATAAATAATATCAGCGCACTTGTGAAAGAATATCAGACTCACCAGTAGATGTGTATTGGATGCATGGCATGATCTGTTTACTTTTGAACTTTGGCAAAAAAATCGAACATTTCTACTACTTTGAGCTCAATTTTAAGATACTTTTCATTGTTGAAACCAATCAAAATCATCTCAATTTCCATAATATGTCTTCCATTGTATAAAATGAGACCAGGAAAACATAGAATACAACCAATAATAGCATACGAAATACACTACAGTCTCTCTGTTTTAAACCAAAAACACGGTCAGAGTTTTTTTCTCTCATTATGCACCGTGTGCTGCAGGATTTTTTTTATACTGCACACACTGACCACAGACCCATTCTTTCATATGTAGGCCTACCAGCTTTCTCTCGCTAGATTTGAAGGCACTAGAATTTATGTGTACTAGTACGGCACCAACCCTGGTGTGCAAGCCGTACTAGTACAGCACCAACCCTGAAAGGGTTTATACAACCACTGGATTGGGGAGTTATTAAATCATTCAAGTGTAACTACACACAAAAAAAAAAAAAATTATGGAAAAAAACTAGTTGAATCAATGGACTGACTCCAACCTGGCTTCTGGAATAAATTTAATATTGCAGATGCATCAGCTATGCTAGAAGTGCATGGAATGAAGTGCCCCAATCAACATTAAATGCAGGCTGGGGAAAGTTATGGCCTTCTGTAGTTAATTCTTTCAATGGTTTTCCCTTGCTTGAGAGTCAGGATCAGGAAATTGTTCAACTGGCAAGGAGATTAGCAGGTGATGGTTTTAAAGATATGAATGATGATGTGAATGAGCTCTGAAGATGATGATTGATGATGATGATGATGATGATGATGATGATGATGATGATGATGATGATTATTGATGATTATTGATGATGAAGAAGACAGGAGTCCAGAGGAAATGTTGGCAGACCTCGATGTACAGATACAAGGGAGCCACATAACAAAAGATGAAAAAGAACCTGAAGAAAAACAGTTAACATTACAGTAGTTACATGAGCAGTTCCATATTATTAGTGAAGTTGTAGACTTTTTCACTGAAGAGGACCATGACAAATCTAGAAGCAGTGCTTTGAAATGGAGTCTAGACCAGCTGATGATGCTTTACTGTCAGCTGTATAAAGTACTGCAGGGTAAAAGGGCCCAGAGGTCCATTACAGAATTTATGCACACTTCAATACAACCATCAACTTTGGTACCAGAACCTCTACCATCCACTTCTGCCGACAGCTGACAACCAACAACCATCCACCTCAGCCAAGTAAGGCCACACCATGCATATCTTCTCTCTTCACGATCATCCACAAACACCATTGCCCACAATTTAAGGTAAGAAATACTATTAACCGATACAATTTGTTTTGTTTAATCACTGAACATAACTGATATAGCTTTAGTATCTACACAACATAGATGTACTAAGCTGGTATTGCCTGGCTAAGTCCATGGAAATCATCAGCTTTTTCTTCTCAGCACTGTTCTTTGCACTTATTTTCTTAGGAACCATGGTTAGAAAAAAGAAATTTGGCCAAATGACTAAAAAAAAAAATGCAAGCAAGCACGAGAGAACTCCTATGGCGATGTAGACATATGTACTGCTTACCAGATGTTTTGGCATCAACTGTGCCAACTAGTGGCAGCATTCTGAATTGTTATTACATACGTATTATTATTATTATTATTAATTTAGGGAACTGAAGCTTTATCATTATTATTATTATAATTATTATCATTATTAATTTAGGTAAGTGGAGCACATATCCAACTCCCTAGATCAAGAGCCTCTCCCCAGCATCAAGGAACCTTGACACTGGTGAGTGGCTCTTGATCTGGAGAATTGGATCTGAGCTTAAGTTACCTAAATTAATAATAATAATAATTAATAATAATAATAATAATGAATGCCGCCAACTCAGTGCACTGTTTACCTCACTGTGGGAGCAGTTCTCTCATGCTTTGCTTACATTTTTGACAAGTCATTTAACCAAATTTCATTTTTCTAAGCATGGGTCCTAAGAAAGTAAGTGTAAAGGACAATGCTGAGAAGAAAAATGAGGATGATTTCCATGGAATTAAAGCATGAAATCATAGATAAACAAGTGAGGTGTCCATGTTTTGTGTTGATGGGGTAGCAGGGGGAGCTGGCTAGTAACTCAAATGTTGGCTCGTAACTCAGAGCAAAAAATCGACCCAGGGACGGCTTGCATCTCAAAAAAACTCATACATTGGGACACTCTTAAGTTAAGATTCCACTGTACAGGTCTCCCTCAACATTCGCGTTTTCAACTTTCGCGGGCTTCACACATTCGCGAATTCCCAACCGCCAAATTCCCAAACTCCAAATCATATTTAAGTTTACCGCCACGAGTCCTTACTACCCTCCCTCCGACCCCAACAACTGGCAGCCAGCCCTCCCACCACTGTGTGGTGAGTGTTTTGTTTGTTCATTATTTGCTATTAAACTACAGTATAAATAATGTAAACCCATCCATGACTGCATATTAGAATGGCTATTCAGACAGGTATTGGACGGTGACATCATGTGTTTACTCTTGAACACAGCAAAGAATCAAACATTTCTGCTACTGCTACTGCTAATAATAATAATAATAATAATAATAATAATAATAATAATAATAATAATAAATAATAATAATAATAATAATAATAATAATAATAATAATAATAATAATAATAATAATAATAATAATAATAATAATAATAATAATAATAATAATAATAAAATAATAATAATAATAATAATAATAATAATAATAATATAAATAATAATAATAATAATAATAATAATAATAATAATAATAATAATAATAATAATAATAATAATAATAATAATAATAATATAATAATAATAATAATATAATAATAATAATAATAATAATAATAATAATAATAATAATAATAATAATAATAATAATAATAATAATAATAATAATAATAATAATAATAATAATAATAAATACGATAGAATTGAAGAAGGAAATTGTACAAAAATACGAGGGTTGAAGCAGTGGTGAAGGAAGTGGTTGACACATCGTCAGTGTGACTTTGTTTATGCTGGAGTGAGTATTAGTCTCCATGCTCTTCCAAACATTTCACAATAATTCATTGTATTTGGTGCTTGTAGATTGAGTGTGACTGGAGTGGTTGAGGCAGTGGTAGAGGCAGTAATAGAGGCTGTGGTAGAGGCAGTGGTAGAGGCAGTGGTAGAGGCAGTGGTAGAGGCAGTGGTAGAGGCAGTGGTAGAGGCAGTGATAGAGGCAGTGATAGAGGCAGTGGTAGAGGCAGTGGTAGAGGCAGTGGTAGAGGCAGTGGTAGAGGCAGTTATAGAGGCAGTTATAGAGGCAGTGATAGAGGCAGTGGTAGAGGCAGTGGTAGAGGCAGTGGTAGAGGCAGTTATAGAGGCAGTGGTAGAGGCAGTTATAGAGGCAGTGCCTCTACCACTGCCTCAACCACTCCAGTCACACTCAATCTACAAGCACCAAACACAATGAATTATTGTGAAATGTTTGGAAGAGCACGGAGACTAATACTCACTCCAGCATAAACAAAGTCACACTGACGATGCGTCAACCACTTCCTTCACCACTGCTTCAACCCTCGTATTTTTGTACAATTTCCTTCTTCAATTCTATCGTACTTATTATTATTATTATTATTATTATATTATTATTATTATATTATTATTATTATTAATTATTATTATTATTATTAGCAGTAGCAGAAATGTTTGATTCTTTGCTGTGTTCAAGAGTCAACACATGATGTCACCGTCCAATACCTGTCCGAATAACCATTCTAATATGCAGTCACGAATGGGTTTACATTATTTATACTGTAGTTTAATAGCAAATAATGAACAAACAAAACACTCACCACACAGTCGTGGGAGGGCTGGCTGCCAGTTGTGGGGGGTCGGAGGGAGGGTAGTAGGGACTCACAGTGGTGGAGGCAGTGGTATTTAATAACATACATGTTATTAAGGCATAACGTATGTATTTAGTACAATTTACGATGTTTTCATGTATTTTATGACTGTTCATGGTTGGACAAGTTAAGGAAGCAGCATTGTATTATATTTCCCTACAATATATTGGGGCACCAAACATTCACGGTTTTTCAACATTCACGAGGCTCTTGATCCTCTAACCCTCGCGAATGTTGAGGGAGACCTGTATTCCTTGGGAGGGATGGATAAATCTTATACATTACTGCACTTTACACCAATAAATCATCATCATGATATGCCATTTCTACTCTAAAGAAATAAAAACAAAGTAGTTATTCTAATTAATAAAGTGGCAAAATATACAGAATTAATGAGGTACTAAAAATATTTTGCCTCATCATATTTTGCCTTGTAATTTAACTCATTTATATTTTGTATTGTAATTTAAGTAACTAGTACTACTCACCCTGCTAAACATAGTACAGGCTAAGTTTTGCCCAAGATGCTATGCATTCTTTGGACCTTCAGTTTGTCCTCTGCAATAATACTGAAATTTAGATTAGTATCTCTATTTGACCAATATCTGTAAAAACCTTCCCAAACTTCCAACAAATCGTTCTTGGAAAAAAAAAAAAATCCAGTCAGTACAGTAGTTATAAACAGGGTCTTTCTATACAAGTACAGTATGTCAATAATGTCACCTTTTTCTGAATCATTTGTAAACCATACTTTGTAGAAGTAAAGTTATCATTATGAATGATCATCATTGAATAGCATTTACCCACACACTAAATTCCAACATTCATCTATTGGTCCATTTGTTCAATTTATCAGTCATCTTTCAAAACTAACCATTTTCATTATTTTGCAAAAGATTTTTGCATTAACTGAAAAAAAAAATCGAAATTTATATATTACTTCTGTTAAGTCATTAATATAAATTAAAAACATTACAGGGGCTGGTAGAGATCCTTGCAGCACCTCACTGGTAACACTTTCCCCAAAACACATTTTTCTTCTTCAAGCACTAATAAAAAAATATATTTACACAAAGCCTAAAATACAGCATTTCGAACAATTTGAACTAAGAGTAAAACTAATTTATATTAAAAAAAAAAAAAAAAAAGGGGGGGGGGGAAACACACACACATAGGGTACTCTAAGTTCATGTCTAGCAAAGAATACTGACAGTGGTTAAAATTAACAGAATAGTGTATACTGATAAAATATAATTCTTATAATACCTCAAAAAGCATACACACAATGAACTTCAATTTACCAATTTCTGAAGACACTTTATCGAGTTTGTCTTGGGTTCGTGAGACGAGAACAATATTCATGCCTCTCTTCGCCAGTTGCTTAGCATATTCTTTTCCAATACCATCTGTGCAGCCAGTCACAACTGCAATCATTAAAATGAATAAGTAGCAAAAATAAAACATTTTACCTATGAGGTACATAATCTAAATCTATATGACGAGAATGAAAACATAATACAGTGGACCCCCGCATAACGATCACCTCCAAATGCGACCAATTATGTAAGTGTATTTATGTAAGTGAGTTTGTACATGTATGTTTGGGGGTCTGAAATGGACTAATCTACTTCACAATATTCTTTATGGGAACAAATTCGGTCAGTACTGGCACCTGAACATACTTCTGGAGTGAAAAATTATCTCTAACCGGGGGTCCACTGTAGTAGTAATAATAATAATAATAATAATAATAATAATAATAATAATAATGATAATAATAAATAATAATAATTATCCTAGGTAGTAGGTTGGTAGACAGCAACTGCCCAGGGAGGTACTACAGTCCCGCCAAGTGAGTGTAAAACGAAAGCCTGTAATTGTTTTACATGATGGTAGGATTGCTGGTGTCCTTTTTTCTGTCTCATGAACATGCAAGATTTCAGGTATGTCTTGCTACTTCTACTTACACTTAGGTCACACTACACATACATGTACAAGCACATATATACACACCCCTTTGGGTTTTCTTCTATTTTCTTTCTAGTTCTTATTCTTGTTTATTTCCTCTTATCTCCATAGGGAAGTGGAACAGAATTCTTCCTCCGTAAGCAATGCGTGTTGTAAGAGGCGACTAAAATGCCGGGTGCAAATGGATAGTAACCTCTTCTGTACATATTACTAAATGTAAAAGGAGAAACTTTCGTTTTTCCTTTTGGGCCACCCCGCCTCGGTGGGATACGGCCGGTGTGTTGAAAGAAGAAGAAAGAATAATAATTATATCTTTATTTACTACAGGTACATGTACATGGTATACAGACCAAGCTGACATCAATGACATACGTTCTACTAAATAGAAAGACCCTTGTTATGCTGAGCAATTTGGGCAAAATAGGTCAGTGTTCCAAGATGCGACCCACACCAGTTGACTAAAACCCACACACCCATTTTACTGATGGATGAACATAGACAACAGGTGTAAAGAAACATGTCCAATGTTTCTACCCCGACTGGGAATCAAACCCAGACCCTCGCCATGTGAAGCGAGAGCTTTGCTTTAGCCAACAGGCTAGGGAAAGAACTAAACGAATTGGTATTACAGCACTTAAGGAAATGGGAAGCAATCAGGTCCAATCCAAGGTAGGCGAGAGTAGGGTGAATTCCTTGATCAGGGGTCCCTCACCAGCATCAAAAATTTCCCTTGAAAGGACTGCACTATTAGCATATACTGCCTGTTTTTGCATTTTTTGTAACACACAGGCCAACTCCTACTGAGGTATATCAGTTAATAAGTTTATTCAGGTACAGGTACACAAATAGTTACATAGATTATCATGCTTGGGAAGTAGGTTGGTAGGCAGCAATTGCCCAGAGAGGTACTACAGTCTTGCCAAGCGAGTGTAAAACGGAAGCCTGTACAGTGGTCCCTCATTTATCATCGTTAATCTGTTCCTGGAAATGCGATTATTATCGAAATAGACGATTTTCAAATCAATTTTCCACTTAAGAAATAATGTAAATACAATTAATTCGTTCCTGACACCCAGAAGTATTAAAACAAAAAATTTTTTTACATGAAATATAGATGTAGTACATAAACAATACAATGGGACATGATGAATGGAACATTAACAGCATGACACTTACCTTTATTGGTGTATGGAAGACTGGAGGAGGAGAGAGATTGGATTAGTTACTGTTTGGAAGGGGAATCCCCTTCCATCAACACCTCAGGTACCAAGTCCTTTTCTGGGGTTACTTCTCTTCTCTGTTTCTTAATGCCACTAGGACCAGCTTGAGAGTCACTGGAGTAATGAACATCCACTAAGAATTTTTATTGACCTAAGAAAAGCTTTTGACACAGTAGACCATGGCATCCTACTCCACAAACTTGACCATTATGGTATAAGAGGCCATGCACTTGCATATTTCAAATCTTACCTTACTAATAGGTATCAGTATGTCACCATTAAAGACACAGCATCAACAACACAGCCACTTGATACTGGAGTTCCGCAGGGAAGTGTCCTTGGTCCCCTGCTCTTCTTCATATACATCAATGATCTTCCAAACGTATCTCAACACCTGAACCCCATACTCTTTGCTGACGACACGACTTATGTCATCTCTCACCCTAATCTTGCCACCCTCAACACCATTGTTAATGAGGAGCTGATCAAAATATCGACTTGAATGACAGCCAATAAACTTACGCTTAACACTGACAAAACCTACTACATTATGTTTGGTAGCAGAGCAGGAGATGAGCAAATTAACATTAAGATTGACAACACTCTAATTGCCAGGCATAATGAGGGCAAATTCCTAGGCCTATACCTCGACAACAACCTGAACTTCAGCACCCATATCCAACACATAACCAAAAAAAGTATCCAAAACGGTTGGGATCCTCTCCAAGATACGATACTATGTGCCGCAAACTGCCCTTCTCACACTATACCATTCACTTATATATCCATACCTCACCTATGCTATCTGTGCTTGGGGTTCAACTGCAGCAACACACCTAAAGCCAATAATAACCCAACAAAAAGCTGCAGTAAGAATAATCACTAAATCCCATCCCTGGCAACACCCCCCCCCCCCACTCTTCATACATCTAAACTTACTCCCTGTTCAGTACATCCACACTTACTACTGTGCAATCTACATCTACAGGACCTTAAATTCCAATATTAACCTTAACCTAAAATGCTTTCTTGATAGTTGTGACAGAACCCACAGGCACAACACCAGACACAAACATCTCTATGACATTCCCCGTGCCCGACTAAACCTTTACAAAAATTCAATGTATGTCAAAGGCCCTAAAATCTGGAACACCCTACCTGAAAATGCTAAAACTGCAGACACATTCATCACCTTCAAAACTACCATCAGAAAACATCTTATCTCCCTGATACACCCTGTCAAATAATTACACAAATACCACCTGGTGGTTAACACTTACACTCACTCACCCATTTGACCATAAACAAATATCAATCTCAATCTCAAAATAATGAATCTTAACTAGTCATAAGTTGTCCTGTGATACTCCAATACTGAAACTATGTATAGTGCCAAAACAAAAGCATTCACATTGCTAAACTCACAAACTAGTATTTAGTCACTTAGCCATAATACCAACTTACCTCATAATTTTGTAATATTTTAAACTTAAGATTTAATCTAAGTCTGCCCGAAATGCCTAGCCATGCTAGGTGTTCTAGTGGTACACTCTGTAATTATTATTTTACTACATGTAAACCACACAATAACCAAATTCTGTAAACTCAGCATTGTAATCCTTATAGAGAATAAACTTTGAATTTGAATGTCTCGCAAAAAAAGTGTCCAGAGAGCTCTGTTTCTGGTATCTCTTTAAAACTTCCCTAAAATGGGCCAAGACTCTGTCACTGTACAAGTTGCCGATATGGCTTGCAACATCCTTCTCAGAGTGATGTTTCTCCATAAATCTTTTCATCCTACCCCACATTTCTGAAGAAAGGTGCTTTCTTCAGAAATTCTTCCATCTCTTCCTCCTCCTCTGCAGCAAGATTCTGAGCTGCAATCTGTTGCTGTTCCTGCTGAAGCTCCTGCAGCTCCTCATTGGTTAGTTTTGTTGTGGTCCTCCACCAACTCTTCCACATCCTCCAAACTCACATCCAACCCCATGAAACTCCCCAATGCCACAATAGAGTTCACAACTGACATAGGCTCATCAGGGTCAGCCACAAACCCTTCAAAATCCCTCTTGTGGACACAATCTGGTCACAATTTTCTCCAAGCAGAGTTCAAAGTCCTGGTAGTCACTTCCTCCCAAGCCTTACCTATAAGGCTTTCATATTGTTCAATGATCTTTTTCTTAAATTCAATTGTATTTCTCACCTTCTTTACCAAATGCTTGGCACTAGGAGTTTTCTTTGGAGCCATGGTAGCTTATTTAGCACTTGCAAGCACTAAAATGAATGGAATATTATGAAATATTTCGTATGAACAAGTGAGGGGACCATCGCTTACTGGTAAACAATGGCACACTGGCTGGGAAGGGAGGCCGACGTGGCTCAGAGCCGTGAGTACGCGTCCAGGACGAACGACGATTAGCGAGTCAACCGACCATTTGCGAGCCAATGTTTGGATGAAAATAAAACGACAATTTCCAAAAAGGACGACTATCGAGGGACCACTGTAATTGTTTTACATGATGGTAGGATTGCTGGTGTGTTTTTTTCTGTTTCAGACATGCAAGATTTCAGGTAAGTCTTGCTACTTCTACTTTCACTTAGGTAACACTACACTTGCATGTACAAGCATATACATGTATATACACACCCCTCTGGGCATTTTTTCTATTTTCTCACTAGTTCTTGTTCTTGTTTATTTCCTCTTACAGTGGAACCTCGGCTAATGATGACATTGGCTAGCGACAAAATCAGATAGTGATGCGTTTTAGCGTAAAAATATTGGCTCAGCCAACAATGAAAAATCCAGTTAAGGACAATCATCCTGAACGTGTCCGTCTGGCCGTCCGGCCTGAGTGCACCTCAGCTGCCCTGCCTTCAGCTAGTGTGCCACTGTTTACAAGCCACTGCAGATGGTTCCACACATACATTCGATACATTTTGTACTATTCCATTGTTTTTAGTGCTTTTAACTGCTAAATAAGCCACCATGGGCCCCAAGAAAGCTTCTAGTGCTACCCTGTGGTAAAGAGTGACATGTACAATCAAACTGAAGAAAGAGATAATTGCAAAGTATGAAAGTGGAGTGTGTGGCTCCGAGCTGGCCCGGTTGTACACCAAAACCCCAATCAACCATTGCTACTATCTTGGCCAACAGAAAGGCAATCAAGGAAGCTGTTGTTGCAAAAGGTGCAAGTATGCTTACAAAACAGATATTGCAAATACTCGAAGATGTGGAGAGA